CCTTAACTAAGCCTACCCCTGGTCTGGATTTTCTTTTTGCTCTACATCTGCACTTTAGACCTTGCTGATATGACCAAAATCTACAATTCAGTCCATTACAAACTTTAGCATTTAGGCTACAGCAAAGCTAGTGAGACTGCTTGTACTTTGGTACATAATTTAAAAAAGCAACAGCTTTCATTTCCACCACAAGGCGCTCTGTGTCCTCTCAGTTACTTTTTTACATCAACACCACAAGTGAGCAGGCTTAACAGAGGAAGATGACATAATATTTCTCAGCATATTTAAACACAGCTGGACTCATTCGGCATTCTGGTGTTACCGCCTTTCCCTCTGCTAGGCTTAATGTCCACATGACTTTCTCTTGCCCCACTGCAGCTTAACAGCAGAAATTTTCCTCCCAGCCCTGACCAGCACTTTCCAGCCTGAACAGTTTCCCTTGTTCTTCCCAGCACATTAATCTCTGCCCTGCAGTCTGTTTGGGAACCATTTTATGGTCTCCATAACACACTCAACATGGGAAATATTTAGCTGGAAAGAATTAACAGCAGTTAATCATTAATTCATAATGGGTTTAATGTCATAATTAACAACATTATCAATACGTAAATATGAATTAAAGCAAATGGTCTGGAGGGCAGCTTGGCCATAATAAAAGCAAATCATCTGTCTTAAACCATCACTGCATGTTTAGAAACATGGAAAAACCAGTATGTATCTCTGAATTTTATTTCAGCAGCTGCACATTTCTTATTTGTATCATGCAGTTTAGTCCCATTAACTTTATACCCCATTTCAAAATGCAAGCATCTTCCTGTGCCAAACAAAACAAGATTTGCTATTCTTTTTCCACACGAAGTAGTTACCAACAGCTGCAGCTATACAAAAGCCAGTGACCTGTTTACACAGTTTCCCTCTGTACAGCAATTTAACCAACTTGGCTGCTTAAAGGTCATATTTCTACAACAGCTATGAGCCTCGGGTTTAAACTTAGCTGAGATGGGAAGTTACTTCCAGTTACCACCTTCGGTAACATACGCTCACACATCTGGCTGACTTTCGTTCTGAATGGGCGGTTGCTGGTATCACAGAAGAGCACAACTAAATAATAATGTTGACATTTGCAGCAAAGGATGGGGAACCAACAACAAATTGACATTCCCATCTACTAGAGTAGCACATGAAGAACTGCAGCTTGGTGAAAGAGATATTTGCTAGGTGAGCTCTCTTCACATGTGGTGACACACCATATAAATGGGTACATACAGTTCCCCATTTGTAGGAAGAGCCCGATCTTGTGATTAGGGCACTGGCCTGGGATAAGAGCAATCTTGATTCAGTTTCTTGCTGCACCAGCAACTCTCTCTGTTGTAGCCTAGGGCAGCTTATTCAGAGTCAGATTCTTGGATGTATTTAGAGGGTTTAAATCCATATATTTGTGTAGGACTCAGGTGCCTACAAAGCTTTAAATATGCTGTCTGTTACCTTTCAGTTCCTCAACTGTAAAATGGCAGTACTTCCCTAACTTAACAGCTTCTATGAAATATTTTTGAGTGACTCGGATATTGTAAGACAAATACAGGAAGAAAGTTATGCTTTCAAAGAATCTCAGCATCCCATAGTCACACTTTCACCACTACCACCAAGTTACTTCCAAAAGCTGCACCCATTGTGCAGTAACTTTTGTTGTTTCTCATTAGAGACATTTAATAACAGGGGAGTAAATTTTTCTGATAAGTGGCAGAATTATTAGCATCAGTGGGTATGACACACAGTTAGCTCAGCTGTTTCCACAGTGCACAGATAGTGTAGACAAACCCCAGCTTAAATGGATTAGGTCACTCCCTCACTGAAAATTAGTTGCAAAAGGAGAGAAAGGGGGGATATTATAATTGCGCAGTTTTACCTGCCAAACACCTACCTTTAAGCATCTGCAGCAAGGAAAGAATAAAAATAAACACAGTAGAAAAGTTAGTGTTTGTCCTTACAGAAGTCCTTTCTCTTTTAGGAAATGCCAGCTTTACTGGGATTAGAGGAAAAGGGCAACCTTTAAGCTTTACCTGCTGCCTTTCAAACAATACAAGGGAAAAAGAATTAAAAAAGACTCCAGAAAACATGTCCTGTGGAACAGGCAAAAGTCAAGAGAAGCAGGCTAGCATTTCCAAGAATGTCAGTCTCCTCATGAGGTACATTTTTCTTTTCTTCTGATGGAAGAAAAGATCAAAATAGGCTGGAGAGGTAATTAGATTGCTTGTTTGGAAACCCTGACCAAATCTACATGAAAAAACAATACAGCTCAACACTCTGATGGGATACTCAGCTTTCAAAATACCCAGTGTAAACAGGTCTTACATAAAGGTGTTCATTCATCCTCTACCCATAGATTTACTTGTCCCCTTATTAAAGCTTAAAAAAAAAAAAAACAAAGGATTTTTCAAAGGCACAACTGGGACATAAGCCCTCCAAAAGTAGTTAAGGTAAGTTAAACACATTTGTTCCTGATCTAGTCTTCAGATTTGTCCTTCTGAAGACAAGTTGTCAGTGTTGTCATCTGCACCAACAAAGTCCCAGGAATTTAAAAATGGAAGAACTATAAATGCAAATGGCCCAGAGCTTCAGTCTAGACAAGTTAGTCTATAGTCCAATAGCTTGGGTGTTCAAGCTGTGTTTAAGCACAGACAGAGGGTAGATAAATGGGAATAAATTCAGCCCAAAACACTGTGCTTGCCAGTAGATTTTAGCTGCCCTTCTTATACAATTAATGCTGACTTGGGCAAACTCTACTTCCTGTCAGACTTAGTTGAATGGTTTTGCCACCTATTTAGCCACCAGACAAACTGTGCTGCTGGAACAGAAGAGAAGTTTCCACGTGCCACTAGCAGACATTGCAGTTACATTGCTTCACCTGACTGAATACTGAATTATAATTAAGATTACCTGGACTGGGTAGAATATTGCCTGGAGCGTAGGAATAGTCTCTGTAAAATAGTGATCCCAGATTTCAGACAGGACATCAATGCGATCCTCACCTACGAAAACAGAGATCGGGAGCAAAAGCTTTAGTGACAAGGACACTAAAATCAAGTAGTTGTCCCACCACTCTCTACTTCCACAAAAAGAGTTACAAACCCACCCTTCACATTCACAGTTTCCACTCAAAACTGGACATCACCCAGCTAAGCTTCACCTTAACTGACAGAGACACAAGGCTGTGATCATAAATTGCTCTGTCACTTACTGCAAAGACAGCTCTGTGCAAAATATGAGACCAATTCCAACAAAAGAGTGAAGACCCTCTTCACCTGGAGGCTTTCACTCCGCAGCAAATGATTGTGTAATCTCGCAGCCCACCGTTAGCATGCTCAACTAGCATGGGAGCAGGTCTGCACGCTAGCAGCTGAGTCTAAAACCAGCAGGTCACAGCTAACATCAACTGTTCTGCAGTAACTGAGTCAGGCAGACCATTTACAAGAGCTGTGCCCCTCTGGCATCCCCCCACTCCCAAGCACAGACACAGCAGTTAGGACCCTGATGAACCACAAAGCCACTGCGCTCCTCTCAAACGTGGCACTTGGGAAGGTTCCCGAAAGAAGTCCAGTTGTGGCCACCCCTCAGATGACTCCAACTCAAACACACATCCCCAAATATAAGTGGGTATTTAAAGTGAAGGCAGACTAAGTTATGCAACTCACGATTCCCACAACAGGAATACGACTGTGGTCAAAAGCCTATTATTAAAAAAAAAAAAGCTTTACTGTACATAATTGTTTGAATAGACATTTTACATCATGCTCAAAGGCTTGACTTACAGAGCTATGTGTTCCTCAGAATTTGGGCAGAAAGCCTCTTAAGCTTTTTCCCATCCCAAAGGCCAAAGGTTTGCTATGTTTTTTCAAGTTTTAGATACATTCCCCAGAAATTTCAGGTGCAAATGCAGACCCACGTTTAATAACACAAGTTTCTGACAAAAGGATTTTCCAGGATACCTTCCATAGAGCCTCAGCTGGAGCTCACAAGCAGTCAAGCCTCAAGGAGCAGTAACAGAAGAGGGATGCTCAAGGCAGCTTTGAAGTCTCAGCCTCAAGGTGACTAAAGGCCCTACATGGGGAACTGGAACACACGTAAAATTGCAACTCAAAAGAGCCTTATCGCTATGCACTGAAGTGCTTTCTCCATCTAGAGACTTCCACATGGACTTTCATTGTGCTTGCCAGTGGGTAGTGCTTAGGGCATGGCCAGAGGGCAGACAGCCAGCAGGACCAGATCCTGAAGACGTTTTCTTTCAATCAGACAGTCCGACGACTGCAGGAGGGTTTAAGGCTTTGCTATGTCAGGTACAATGCTGGCTTCAAAACTAAAACTGTAGGCACACAAGCACCTACCCAACACTCCCATAACAGCTACCCATTACCAAGAAACTGCCAACTGTAACTGAAAAAGACAACAGGAAACAGACTAACTGAATGTTTAAATTTCTCCCTCCTCTGCCTCCTCCCCAGGAATGCAACACTTTGGTGTGTGGAGCCAGAATGAAACACCATAAATCACTTCTTCTGAAGGGGAAGGGGGAATAGTTTGTTTCTTCAAGAAATCACAAATCCTACAGGCATTGAAAGAGATTCTGACAGATCATATCAAGAAAAATCACATTAAAATAAGAGGCTGTAATTTGAAAAACAGACAGAGTAAGACATTGCCATGCCCTGCAGCAGGAACATTATTCCATCTCTGAGTACTGGGACAGTAGAAATTTTCCAGGAAGAGCTAACTGAGAAGCATGTACAAGAAGTTCTTGTTGCTGTGACCACAAGACCTGAAACAAGCCTACACATTATGAAAGAAAGATGCCCATGAGTCATCTGCTGCAGAGATGCCAGCCTGCATAGGCAAAGTGGCTCCAGCGTCACTTCAGACTAGGGAGGCATAGGAAGAGGGTTTTGCTCTCTGCCTGGGAAACTTCATCTTACCCAAAACACTTGAGCACCTGCAAAGTATTCCTGAGCAGCTCTCAGCTTATTACAGACTGGAACTCAATTTTCATAATGCTAAAACAGATACTGGAATAGTCTTATGTGAACACAGAAAACAAACTTATGACAAACTGCGCAGAACTCATTCTGAAGAGCTGGCAGGGGCAGGGCAGGGACCCACATTCGGGAAAATGCATGTCTGCCCTTTTTCCTCCCCTACAGTGCCAGTGCTGAAGAAGTACGCACCTAAGCAGGAGGCTGGCAACTGCACAGCTCCTTCAGGGTCCGCTGCTAGCCCAGTGGAGAAGTCACTTGCTGAAGAACAGCGCGGAGAAATCCAGCACAAACAATGTGAAATTATAAGCATCTATTGGCATTTAACGGCCCAGACACAGCAGGTTGGCAATTAGCAAGGGATCTTCCCTACAGGCTACAAAACTGGGTCAAATCAAATGGCAGACTAGTTTTGAATAAAGACGTGTTCTCTAGACAGCTCACTCTGCTTGAGCAAACTGTTAATAAACGTGACTAACTCCCCACACATCCAACGCTGAGAGTCGCTGCGCCATGCTGGCCTTTGTCCACAGGCTCTGCGGTAGCAAGCTTCTGTACCCCAGTGGTTTGAACAGAACTTCATGTGTGATTAACTTCTTTCCTGAAAGATTTCATTCCCGTCCAAGTGACTGTTTTTTCTTTAAATTTACACAAAGCCTGTTAGTTCAGCTCTCAAAAGCATGACACAGTAACCAAAATTGTGCTTACATTGAGCTGCAAATCACACTGAGAAATAAAAGGCAGAAGGCAGCTCTCAGCAGTTTTGCAACATGATCCAAGTCCAGCCCAGAACTGCTTTTGGCCCAGGTTCAACTGCCACACACGACCCACTTTCCTTCTCTTGTGGTGAAGATGTGGCTGGTGGGAGTGCTGCAGCTACGTGGCTATTCGAGCCAAACACCATCCCTTAAGCCTCACAAGGGCTACAGTGCAACCTGGCTCCTGAGAGGTTGTGTGACACTCTAAGACAGTACCAGAAAGGGCTGTACACTTTCCACCCATGCAAATAAACTTGTCTGGACAAACATCAAAGCACAACTCCCTTCCAAAATGGGTTTCTTACTATACTTGCCTTCGCACAGCTTAACCTTCTCCTCTATAAACAGCAAGCCTTTCGCAAGGAGCTGGTTCTGCCAAAAGAGAAGAGAAAGAGACATGTATTTGCCTTTTCTGAGATTTAAAATAAACATGGAAGAATACAATTTTTTCAGATTTTATCCACTTTGCATGCAGTTATCTAAGATTAGTCATATCGTAGCACTTTCTCCCAGCACTGCCACCAGACCTGGTCTTACTGTGAGTGCTGCACATTCATTAACCCCCTCTTACTCAGCCAGACATGAGAACACAACAGACACAGCAGGTACTTCAAACACTTGCCAGAAGTGGGGAGGAAGGACCTGTCCTGAGTCACAGGGAGGGAGTCAAGAAAATGAAACGGTTCTTAACATGAGTGCAGCCACACGAGCTATACTTCAGCCATATGATGAAGGTGATCAAAGGGCCATATGCTACCAAAATGTCCCACTCTCTTCTTCCTTTGCAGCAGCTCAGTGCTCGCCTGACTGCACAGTAAGTCTGTTCAGATCCCTAACCCTTCCTTCTCTATTCCTACCTATTTTCTTTCTATGACATCATTTTTTTTGCTATATTGAGCAGTTGGATCATCTCAGTATGCAGTCTTAAGCTGCAGAAGAAAGTGGCAGGAGCTAGTCTTTCTAGATAAACTTAACTATCACAGACCAGACAGGTCAAGATATAGACGTGCCTGTTTGCAGTTCAGGACATCTAAATATCTGATAAGATTTCTGTTCCCATTTTCCCAAACGTAAGAATGGTGCAAAAACAACACCTACATTTTTGTTCTTGCAACAGAACTTGGAGAATCAGTTTTCCTAAAAAGCTTTGAAAATTCCAGAGAAAGGAGCTGCTATCACTACATACTATCATACACTATTACTGCATCCTAAAAGGTTCAGTCCTACCACACAGATCATACTGACAGAGGATAAAGCCTTCTGTCCCTCTGAAAGGCTTCAATATCAGTCGTGCACAATATGCAGAATCCTCTCTTCCTGTCTCTCATGTTCATCCTCCAGCTTTTGTTTTTAATGGTTAAAGTTGCGCCTTTCAACCTTTCCATCAGCTGAGGACCGAGGCACATCTGTTTTCACTCCCAATGGACACTGCTGTTACACCACTGCCTTGATAGCACCATGGCCTCCTGAGGAGCTGCCATACCACACAGCTGCCCGTGCACTGCTGCTCTGAACGTCAGACCCGCCTCTTGTAACCGTGTACCAGGCTGGTTCTTTCATGACACACCAGCAGATAACTGTGTCAACCACCCCAAGCACAAAGAGCAGCACACCTCTGCAACCTCCCTACAAAAAGAAGCAATGCTAAACTGGGGTACTGTTGAAGGGAATAAGAAGAAGGAAATGTTTTGTGACATTCTTCGCTTGTACATGTACTTTACTTTCCAGAACAAAAGAAGAACTTTCCACTGGCGAGTCCTACTTGTTAGCATCAGGCATCACTGAAATGTGTAGAAAAGGAAGGGCTCTTCCTTAAATACTAGCTAATCAAACAGACTCCAGAAGTCTTTTGCAAGTAGATTGAGTCTGAGGGACTGAAAATACCACCATACATCCCATCAGTAAGGAAACATCTCTGGATGCATTGTCCTGGCGGAGAATTTATATTCAAAAAGCTGTCAGGTAGGAAAATACTGAAATTAATAAAATCAGGGGCTGAATTCAAGACAGTCTTTTTGCTTTGGAATTTCACCTCATGCAAGGTGAGCTCTGAGACCCTTTGGGGCTGGGTGCCACTGCAATATTAGAGAGAAATTTTTCCATTGTCAAGATTCCAACATCAGCGTGTGGAAGAACAAGCTGGGCATGGAAGAAAGAACAAGCCACACAAACTCACCAGCTTCCTCATGTGCGATGGGTAGCAGGGGGGAACTTCCATGAAAAGTTTCATCTCAAGTCACAACAAGAATGTATGGTTATTGTCTTCTTAATGGTGTGAAAGAAGTGAGGTGTTATACAACAGCAAAGAAATGGGTACCTTTCTTTGGTTGTTGTTCCATCTCATGGCTACTTCATCCACATTAAAACATTAACTCATGTTTGGCTACAGTGGCTTGCTTGTCTTAAATAAGCCAGATGTCAGTAATTTTCAGGCACTGCTTTGACAAAAAAAACCCAAAACACCTGCATACCCTAATGTGTATCCAGATTTCAGTCATGACATAAGGAGGAATGGCCATCCAATTCACCAGTGGTAAACTCTATTAGTAGCAGTAACAGTTAAATATTGTATAGTGCATACAAGGGAAAAAAGAATTAATGGTCATGCTTGTTTTAAGGTACCTTTTTTTCAGAATTCAAACCCAAAAATATTTAATATGGTCTTATTCCCAAAGTAATGTTTAGGTTCCTTTTAAATTAGTTACACAACAAAACAAGAGCATTTTAGGAGCAACGTGTAGTGATTAAACTGTATTTGAACCGCCCATCCAAGTCACACGACTGACTTCTACTAGCTCTAGCAGGTGTAAAGGCAATCCTATCCATGCAGTACAGTCAAGCTTTAAAAAAATGTCCATACTCTACTATTAACCAGGTAATTAACTAGGAATTTCAGCACAGGAATCAGAGCTGACTTGAACAGCCCAGTTTGTCAGAGGAACATGCTAAAACTGCTAATCTGTACACAGGTGACCATGTGGAGACAGGAACCCAAAGCACTTTTGCATGTGACCTTCTGAACCCACTCACAAACTGTGTACAAATGACTCTCATTAACTGCAGTTGAAAAGCTGTGCAAGCCAACAGGTAAAAAGCAGAGCTTTCTGGCAATACTGCAGACGGCAAAGCAGCTGCTTCTAGACCGCACGTAGCACATGGCTGTCAGTTTAGGAGGGCACACTTTGCTGACGGTCTTTGCGGACTCCTTCCACAACACCAATACCCACCCAGGTTAGCAGGAGTAGAGGGACCTCCAGCAGGATGTGCACCACCAAGGGCCTGGCAGCTCACTCCATGACCTGTGGTATCTCACCCTGTTTACAACAGCTTATTCAGTTTTAGTCAAAAAGACATACATTTATTCTGAAAAAAAAGTCCACTTTCTGCAGTTTTTTGGACTCTGGAATTCACCCCAATAAAACCATGTAAATTTTTTTCCTACAGAAGCCTCTTTTCTGATTTATTCATTGCCACCAATGTGACAAAGGGCTGCCAAAGGAAGCTGTGGGGAGCAAAGGGAACTTGTCAGTGAAAGATTTTTCAGTTGGGCAGTGGCTGGGGGGCTTTGTCTAGGGCTCACTCCTCAGTTAGGGTGAGTGTTAGGGTTGAGAGAAAGAGAAAGCCAGAGTTCCTAGAAGAGCACAGGAGGTTCAGGGCTGCCAAAGGATGGGTAAGATGCAAAGAGAATGTGCCTGGGAGACACTTTTAACCTGGGTAATGACAACAGCAATTAGCAAGTTGGATAAATATGTTCACATAATAAAAAAATAAATAAATAAAAAAAATTTGCAACATTACCAAACGTTGTTATCAACCAATGGAAGGTGACTATTTTGCAAAGATTCTCTAGCTGAAATATAGGCTTTGGAGGGAGATATTAAGTTGATGAGATCTCCATGCAAAGTTTAGGCTTCTTCAGCAGAAATAAATGACTACACGTCAGGCTCTAGACATAACAACAAAAAAAGACTTCCCAGGAAAAAGCAAGTAATGTGAAAAAGGAGGGAGGAAGAAATCTGGAATGGAAAAAATTATGGGGAGGGGAGAAGTGAAACCCACTTACACTGTAAATATTTTTCTGGCTGAACAGTAAGATAAAATTTGGAGTGATATTGCACTGTAATATCACTGTAAAGTACTTCCAAAAGTACTTCAATTCTTTATTTTTCAACCTATAGCTCAAGGTAATTACCTCTTATATATTGCAGGGAAAATTTACAGCTGGTCTTTAATACTGTGTCGTTTTTAAGTATCATATAACAAAATAGTATATACACAAATACCTGAGGTGTCACACTTATTTTCTTGTATTTCTCTCAAGAAGTATGAATTCCTTCTCTATTTGCAGTAGAACATTAGGTTTCAATTTACATACTCTTCCTGAACACCGTGGATACAATTTTCCAGCTACTTTGCTTATAAGTTAGTATTATTGATGCCTTCTACTTCAGGGATTTTTTTTTTTGCCTTTTACAGCTATGTCAGCAAATAAAATATGCATTTGTACACCTTTATGGGCAGCACAGTTCTATCTATTAAAAATAGATATATTAATAATTACCCTGAAGTAAAGATTTTATAATGCTCTTATGAATGTATTATCAGTAATTCCATGTGCAAAATAGATTGCATCGTCTCATTCTTCAGGTTTCTTTAAAAAAAAGCTTAGATCCAGATAGTTACTGCAGATATTTCAATTATCCTCTCAAATTTTCCCTTTTCCTGTGGAAGAGAGAGACTTCAAAGAAAACTCCAAACAGCCACCACACTTCATTTCCCTTCTCCCCATCTTAAAAATATCTGGAAATTTTATTTATCTGTCTTTCCTGCTAAAGTCACAGGCTTAGAAATTGATTCAATCTGAACATGAACCCCTGAGATCAAGCCAGACAAGTAAATTTTCATCTAAAACCCCTACAGGGTTTGCCGACAAATCAATACAATGTAATAAATGCAGCCACAGCAGAGGTGCGTATCAGAGCTTGCCTGGATTACACGTCCCACTTTACTGCTTTATCCCTGGCTGCCAGCGGCAGCGCAGAGGCACAGAGCTAAGAGGAAAAATACATCTTACACCAGCAAGCAAGACGAGGTAAAGACTCACACCAAGTGAGCTTGAAGGGTGCATTTGTTTGAAAAAGTTTAGGTGCCACCTTCTGCCTCTTCGCAGTTACCGCCGAGCCGGGCGCCGGGGCAGGCGTCGCCCCCTCCCCAGGCCAGCTTTCCCCGGAGCCC